CCTGGGCGAGTGCACAGGCCATCAGCCTTCGATTCAGCAAGGTCATTATGGTTTCGGAGTTTGGGGGTCAGTCAAGGCTTCATTGTTTTCGGGTTTAGGGTTTCGGGGTTTCAGGGTAAGAGGGTTTGGGGCTTAGGGTTTGCAGCTGTCGAGGCGTGCAAACGCCCGGACTGTTTCTGAGCCATGTGCTCGAACCCTTCCAAGCCTTGCGTCAACCCGAAACCATCCTACCTTATATATACACACACCCCTTGGAGATCTGTTTCTTGCGTGCTCTCGACTCAGCAAGTGCCTTTTGAGTCTAAGTTGCTTGCATAGTGGAGAAGTTCAGCGTTCGTGTAGCCATGGGACGCCAGGCTACATGCAGCAGCAGAAGCCGGGAGCACAAATCATGTGTGCCGTGCGATCGAGCGCCATTGTGCTGCCCAAGGACGCCGCGGCTGCAAGCATAAGCGCACCTCGAGCTGAGCTGTGTGTGCTGGAGTTGTTAGGAGCCGGAGAAACCTGTCATCATGGCGGGCATGGGCACGGGATTGGCCCCGTGGCGCGCTGTCACGCAGGAGCTTTCTTGCAGTCGTTTCATTCTGCATTCTGTGAGCCAGCTTTCTGGTCTGATGTTGCCAGGAGCGAGTGATGCAAGCCAGGCAGGGGCTCAAGGTCGGCAAGTGCATGCTCTTCTTTGGGGCCCGGTACAAGCAGGAGCCTCGCAAAGAGTACAGTGTCCATGAAGCTCGTGGTCTGGTTTACGCGTTGTATTTCGCAGGAGTGGCTCTACAGAGAGGAGTTTGAGAGCTACGAGAAGGAGGGTGTCCTACAAATGCACACGGCCTTCTCGCGAGAGCAGGCTAGGGAACACTCCTTACCTGTTGCCCGCTTCGTGTAGCGGTGATGCATTGATGAGGCACGCAAGATCTACGTGCAGCACAGAATAGTGGAGGCAGCTGCATCGGCGGAGGTTTAAGAGTGCTGTCTGCTGTGCAGCACTGTATTGCTCTCGAGAGTACGCGTGCACGGTACTGCTTGCTGCAGCTCATGGATGTCTCGACGCACTGAACATACAGCTGAAGCATTGCATTGCCCGGAGATGGAGCCTTCCAGTCCTGAAT